TCTGACACTGTTCTATGTGGAATCCTCAGTAGTGCTTCTCCTGCAGATAATCTTTCATCTTGTTGGGCAGAGGGAGTTTCTGAATCAAATCTATCCTAGTATATTGTCTAATGACAAAGCGACAGAGGTACTGTAGTGAGCGCACTTGCATAAACCGAGAAACCGGATTGGTTAGTCTAACAGGGTAAGTCGCAGACCCCGGGAGGCGAGATCTGGAGTAGCAGAAAGCTCCATTCTCAGAGTCTCTGATTGAATGTTCAATTAAGTCTACTATGGAGGTGTGGCCCTCTACGTCGGGCTGCTCATAGAAGCTGAAGCGCCCATTGGAGTGTTCAATGCGAGTGTGAAGTGTTTTTCCCTGGGACCTAAAACTCAGGCTGAGCAGGTACCGGTCATCAGAGCTGTCCCGCACCAGAAAAGATCCATCAGCAAGGTTCAGAAGCTTCTCCTCAGCCTCCCAGCGAGTTATTGGGCCCCAGTACCAGCCCTGTCTGGCCAGTTTCTTCAGCTCCTCTGTTAAACTAGTCACAACCATGGGCCCACTGCTTTGGACTGAGTCATACACACGGCTCACCCCAGGGGCTGAATTTGGGTCAAAGTTCAGGTGGTGCCTTACCCTCTCTGCAACCTGGCTGTCTGCAGAGGCAAAGCCTGAAAAAGTCCTAGGGAGAAGTCCATTGCTAGTCATGGGCGGCAGCAGAGGTGAGAGGGGAGGCTGGACGTCAACTCTAGAGCCTCGCAGCATCATACTAGAAGAACTAATGAGCAGTCCATTTACCGAGGTGTCCATGAAGAGGTCTGGGGGCATTCCCCTCATCAGTTCATGTTCCTCCTGTGCCTGGTCTGCATGCAGAGACCCACTGTCTGCCTCTGTGACCACCTCCATAGGAGATGAGCTGTCCAGACAGAAGGAGTGGGACCCCTCAGGGTACATTCCCTCATCTAAAGGCATTGTGTAATGGATGTAGTCCTGGGGCGTCAACCCCAGAACCACAGGCACGTCATTTTCATCAATGTTTAGATGCAGCTCGCCATTTTGAGGCTGTTGGATGTTCTTTAAGGATTCTGCTTGGTCCTGAAAAAGCCCTTCCATTTGGAAATCATGAAATTCCTTTCGAACACCGTTTAAATTTGGACTTGGGCTGGGAGAATGAACCATGGCTTTCACTTTGACTTCCATTTTAATGCAAGCCTCATCCGAATTAACAGAGCGCAGAGGCCAAGGTGAAGGGCTATAATGGTGACTACGTAAGGATGAAGATCTAAGGGGTCTCTGGGCTTTAACCTCATTAAAGCTGATCGGCACAGACGACGACGAAAATGTATCTTCATCATCTAATGAGCCATTGGCCGAAGACCCACTTTTTACTTTTGCCTTTTGCTTTGTCGACAGTCTTCTTTTTAGGGATCCCATAAGGCCCTCACTTTTAGCCCTGTTTTTATTCTGCCCCGACTTGTCCTCTTCACCCCCAAGATCACTGCCCGACAGGTCTTTGGTGTAACAGCTTCCAAAAAGTGACTCCTCTTTGGAGAACTCTGTGTTCACCGGAGGCTGCTGAAGCATGACAAAGTCCCCCTCTTCTTTGCCCTTGATACTGAGGGACTTTCGGATGGTCTTAAGGCTGATCTTCTTCATCCTGACAAGCCCTCCACTCCGGGGGCATGCAGCGCCTCCCTTGGTCTCCTGATAAACGCACTATCCACGGTGTTCCCCCATCAGGCCACATGGGACAGGTCATGCATACAGTGCAGTCAGCAAAACCTGAGCGAGCAAATAAACACAAATGAAAACAATAAAAATGAACACTATCAAGTTTCATCTTATTTATACTACATCTGTTCAGTCAATGATCATCAACATATGTTCTTTTATATACATTTTTACTACAGTTGTTTAAATTGCACGCTCCCTGATTAATGTCTTGATTATTTCATATGCATTAACACTGTGTAAATGTTAAATGTGAAACAAAACATTATTTCACTGTTCATGTATTAATTGTGTTGACACTGCAGTGAACTGTGCCTTTAACACTGAGACACAAAATAAAGCTAAAGGGAAGCAGAACAACTGCAATCTGATTACTCACCATTATGTCCAGGAAAACGGTGACTCAATTGATAGGTCAAGTTCCTCTTCCCCTCCGCTCATTTGATTCTATGAACACAACAAAGTTCACTTTGGCAAACTAGAATCACATACTTGCATAGATTGTAGCCTAAAATCCTCGTTTGACTCCGTATTTGGGTTCTGAAATAACCTTAGCCAGGTTTGCATAGCTCAACCTGGCACGGCCTACACACATAAAATAACACATCATAGGTAAAACTTCAAACTGCGTGCCAATATTACATTTGGTCGCATCACAAATCCTATAATAACAATTTCCGAGACTGAAAAAGTGTATCAAATCCAAAATGAAAAGCTTTTTAGTCTATAATGAAGCCTCATCTGGTGTTTTGTTTGCTAACACTAAAAAGCTAATATTAGCCAGCGTCAAATCATCTGTTTATCCAATAAGATAGAGCCGCATGGGATAACACCTTTGTTTTACTTTAAGCGTACAATGGCTCGATAGGTAATGCTTTCATTTTGCACAACTCCTTTCACAAAAGATGCGCTCTAAACGATGATGATCTAATGTTAGCTTGGCTAAACGTGAAGCTAGCTCGATAACGGTACCTGTACATTTCTGCTAGCAGTGTTAACATTGGCTATCGGAAGCTTACAACGTTACCTTTTATTCTGGACACCCTCTGAAAAGCAGTTAAAGGAACGGATATTTATTTTGGCCGGGTGAATGTTTCCTTAAATCTGAGGGAGATCCCTGGCGATTCAGTGGACATAAAGAGGTGACATCTTTTCTGCTTTGTTGGCTAGCAGTTAGCAGCTCACGGCCTCTTCCTTTCTTCCTTTGTTGCCTGTTGAATTCTGGGAGCGGACACAGACGCAGCAGATCAGGCAGGCACAGGGCAGGCACCACCTCCACCGGGGATGTTGGGGGTTTCACCATCACACACACATAAGGGAAAATAAAGCATCATCAGGACCATCGTATGAATATCCACAAGCATGTCAAAAACACACGTGATTTAATGATGAAAAAGTAGGATTGGGATATAAAGGTTAGAAGCTCTTTGGACCATCATGAAAAATCATATAATCCAGGCCCATGATTTAAACAAAATATATATTATTACAAACACTACCTTGCTACCCTATGCATGTAACATTATAAACAGTTTTGTTTGTTTATTCTTTATATGGTTCAGTCAGTATTTCCCATGAGAGCCGTTATAATTTCAACAATATTTCAACCTTAGTCTCTATGCCAAGGGGTCTCTAATTAGTATCCCACAATCAAGCAGAGAATTCAACACAGGACTTTGATAGTGGCTAAAACTTGAACTTTGAAATGATACATGGGTTTCCTAATTAGTGTCAGCATTGTTTTAAAGTGCTGCTGTGTTTACCACTGCTTGGGTAATTTGGACCAGGCAGAGCCATATATTCAACATTAGGCCTACATTGTTTTTTCCACACTGTCAAGTGTATGGCAGCCGTTCCCAAGTCTTCTCTGGGTACTGTGAGCAGACAGGCCCTATGCAAAGACTCTAATTACCAGGGCTTATTAAGGTTGATCAGACCGCGCTGGCACAAGAGGGGAGGGCAGGAGACAAGGGGCTTGGCAGCACTTAAAACTCAGAGGGCACCGCGAAGATGTTTGCAATGTTTTTAAACATTAATTAGACCTGACAAACAAACTTCAACCTTCTTGATATTACTTGCTTGACATAAATTATAAAAACAACTACATACTTGGTGTGTTTTTTCATAGGATAAACAATTAATAGCAGTTTATCATGTTGGTAGATTCTGATATCTTTGGCAGTTTGTGCAAGTTTTCTGAGACTACAGGGACAAGCTTACCAGCTCAAGATCAATATAGAAAATTATTTGAATTTATGTATAAGCACAAGTCAAAACATTGCATCACCACAACAAGTCAACACTGTAGACATGGATCTCTAGCCTAACGAGGCACCTCTTCACATGGGAAGACTTCATGTTTCATCTTAATTTCAAATGAGTGCTGCATCAGCCATAAATTATGTGCACAACAACATGTCGGCCCTGGCTTCAGTTTGACTCAGTCCTTTGACTCTTGTCTTTGCCAGGCCTGGATTGTGGGGCCCCTCTGTGCCTACCCTCATATCCTCAACACTCGCAGTGGAGCGGAAGACGGGTACAGCAGCCGTGTCAAACAGTGACAGGACCACAGGGACCACTTGGGCTTGTTGCAGGCATAACATGATTTTGCCTCAAAATGTAGTGAGAATCCAAAGCAATATATTACTATGTCCAATCCTTCATTTTAAGCCTTGTTGTTCCAATAATTGTTTCAATTTCACATGGCCTGATCAATAACCAAACAATAATGTAATTGTTAATTAATCTAATAATGTCATTTCCAACATTTTCAAATCTTCTACCTGGGCATTTGAACTGATTAATTAGAAAAAAAAAAACAATGAGTTGGGCTTTTGGTGTGTTTTGACAGCAGGACCAAAGGCACTAGGCCAATTTTCAGATGGAGAAAACAACCTACAAAAGTATATTCACTTAGTTATTTCTCACCACCAGCATATTTATAATTATAATTAAATTATAATACATCACTTTCTAATACTATCTCTTAATTGTCAAAGCTGCAGACACATCTCAGTAATTTACAATTGTGAGACGCCTTTAAGTTTCAAAATATGTGGGAAATAAAATAGCTTTAGAATCATAAAGCACTTTGGACTGTGAAATGTAAAATGTTTTGCAAGATTTGAGATTTGAGAAAACTATAATAGTCTTTTCAGCATGTAGCAGTGGTCACATTTTACTTGGCCCATGAATGTTAACCAAACAGAGAAATGTTTTTGCTGTGGTCAAAGGTTTTACCCGTAAACGTAAGTACCCTGAATGCCTCGCGGAGCCAGCAGGAAGTGGAGTGACGTTGGCGCGGACGTTGAAAACATTTGTTGACATGTCGCTGGAGGAGAACCACTGACTAAACTCTTGTTGGCTATTAAACACAGAGGAAATGGAGTTATCAGCTCTTATAAAGAAAATCGGTGGGGTGGCTCTATTAGCTAGCTTCTGAAACATCTCACAATTTCGACTTTCTGATAAGTTTTCACCATATGGTTTTCACCAGAATGCTCTCAAGTTACATTAGCCGCATTTGTGCTAGCTGTTAACTAACTTCTTGCATTATGTCACTAACACATTATAGTTTACTGATGTATTTTGTTGTTGTATTTATGTCGTGAAAAGTAATGTTTAACTACGCGAACATTTGCATAAAATAACCATTACAATATTACCGTGTGCTTTTAACTTTAGAACCTGGCTGTACTGTGTGTCGTACCTCACTACCTGCTCATTCTGTGTTGCAGGGCATTCTTTGGTGGAAATAAGAGTCCGAGCTTTAAAGAATATAATTTGTAAGTTGGACCACTCTCTCATTTCGGTGGCTGACATAGTGCAGGAGAAGATGCTTTTTGTTTACTTGTTGGAGTGGTTCAATTTCCCTGAGGTACCAATGCAAGAACAAGTCCTTGAACTAATCACGACATTATCCAAGGTACAAACATCCATAACATTACTTTTATATACTTTCTAGTTGTTTAATGCGAATTGTGTGTTTTTCCTCAAAGCATCCTAGTGCCGCCCAGATGCTGAGAGACGTTGGGGCGGTGGACTTCCTCACTCAACTGTCTCTGAAAGTGGAGCCCAGACTGCGAGCTGTCATCGATGGAGCTCTGGACCAGCTGTTTCAACTTCCAGAGCTGCTGCCTAGTCACACCATTGTGTATTCAGGCAAGACGCAGACAACTATTGCAACAGGTAGTGGACTGAAAAGGCTAAATAATGCGTAAAGGATTGGTTTGAAGGTTTGGTTCATCTAACTTTACGTATTGTGCATTACAGCCCCTAATGTGCCTGAAACCGAAGAGGCATTACCCAATGCAGGTTATTTCCACATGGACCTACCAAATAAGAATGTTATACTGTCTCAGAAGTTAAGAGGTACCATGCTCTTTTATTTTATCCAAACCATCAAACACTTTCAAGGCTTACCTTTATTTCTATGTGTAGTGTGGGAAACCGTGAGATGTATGAAGTTTTCAGTGTTTCCATGGCTTACCCTGACAAATACTGACCGACATATACTGTCGTCAAATGAAAGGTAATCAATTATTTATATTATTTATTTTATATTATAATATTTATATTATAATATATTTTCTATATTTTGTTTATAGTTTGTTATGACATTTTAAATGTCCTTGTTATTCCTTTGAACAGTTCTTTAACAAGCAGTAACCCCAACTTGGTCAGGACAACATGCGAACTTTTGCGAGATGTTATTATGCAAGATTTCCCCTCGGAGGTCTTCTTGCAGCGTCCCGGTATTGTAAAGGTACTAAAATGTAAAACCATGAGCAATTTGTGTAGAAAAGTACAGCTAAGAACTAACCATGGGATCTAGTAATTTATACTGTAAAGGAGGTGTTTTGGCAAACTTTTCTACTTTTAGTGATCATACATTGGCTGTGAAATGTACCTTTGAGGTGATGATTAGTTTGAGCCTATTAAAATCCACATATTTACACTCAATACACTTATTTTTTTTTTCTCATTATTTCTTCATTTTGCTATTTGCAGTTCAGACAAATTTTATTAGCAATTTACTGCCAAGTTTTGTCAGTTCTGTTTAGTTGGCAAACATGAGAAATAGGTTAAGTATCATATTGCAATGTTAACTAGCTATAACTGCATTTATTTATTGTCCCTTGAATATGGTGACTTCATTAATTTGCATGATAAAATACAACAACTTGTATTTGCCTTTTCTGTGCACTGAGAGTTTTATATCATGTTTTACAAAAATACTGACCTTTCAAAAGTGTTACCATTTCAACTGATTCTTTGTCCCAACAACAAAAGGAAATGCTTTCATAGATTTGTAACGTCTTTGATTGTCCACGCTTTGAATGACTAGAGCTCTTTGGTTAAATTACTACAATCTGATTAAGGCACTGACATTGGATTTAAGAGAACGGAGAGTTTAACACAAGATGAATGGTTGTTTCAATCATTTAATTACACCTTCACTGTTTGATCTGTTTGAACATGAATGCCTTTTGTTTCAGATTTTGTTGAGCCTTTTGAGTCTGGGTTCAGGTAAACGTGAGAAGAACTTCCTTTACTTCCAGGCTCTCTCCTGTTTGCGGCAGCTCTGTGTGGGGTTGAGGAGGAGACTACGCTGTCACCAGGACCCAAGCTTTTATTCTACTAAACAAGGTGAACCAATTACACATACTAATAATGTGGTAAATTATCTGATAATTATACACAATTTTCTTTTTGACTTCAGATCCAGTGTCCCAAAATTCCTCCTTCACCCATGAGGTGCGGGGGAGTCAGCATTCCCAGACCTCATCCCCAGCAGCAGAGCAATCCCCCAGGCCCTCTGTGGTGGGACGTCCTGGACAGAGAGCAAGAGGAGATGGCCAAGATGGAGATGCAACATCCAACAGGTAATAAATGACATGTTTAGGTAATTGAAAGTGTCACCATATAATTTTTTTGTTTGGAATCATGAATGTTCAGTTCTTGAGTGATGACCATTACACTGAACTAATGTATGTCTGAGCAGTGTTTTTTTTTTTTCGTTGGCTTTGCACTTGCCCAATGCCCCTGCACACAAAGTGTTATTTATGACCTTTTAGTCTCTCAATCAATTACTGAAATATTGTACTAATTTAATAATAATTAATTGACATCTTGTGCTTGTATGCTATATACTGAGATAATATGTTTTAATAGAAGTTCACAGCATAAAATCCACACGTAATATATTACTTAATTTTTTTTTTTTTCTTTTAGTGGTAGCTCTCACAGAGGTGCAGCTGCCCCTGAGCAGATGCCCCAGTCGCCTGTGGCCCACTTGGAGTTGCCTGATCTTTGTGTTGAAGATGGCCTAGAGCTGCAGTTACAGCAGCTCACTCTGGCACAGTTCAGTGTGGCCACAATACAATACTCTATCTCTCTACTCAAAACAGGCAGGGCCATTTTACTTGTCTTCTGCAATGTCTTTCCAGATCTTGTATCAGTGATTTGATCTTGCTATGCATCCCTCCTCAGAGAGTTCACATGTGTTTCACCGTGTGCTGGAGCTGCTGTCTGAAGCTGTCCTCCTGCTCGGGTACAGCGTCTCGGAACTGGTCTGGGACGATGGCAGTCTGGTGGGGATAGAGCTGGCAAGTCCAAACACAATTCATGACAGGATCTTATGTAGATGAATGGATGCACTTCAGTGGAAAGAGGAATCTGGGTTGGTCACTAGACAGTTTGCCAGAGACGCACAGGCATATGGTCCTCCACTGTTGCGTAGATTGGTATCTCTGTGATTGGATTTATAGAAGGTTGCAAAAGCTTCATGGTGTTTTTCAAAATTTCAAATACTATTTATATATATACTTATTATTATTATTATTATTATTATTATATTTTTTTATTATTTATTTATTTATTATTATTATTTATTATTATTAAAATAAATAACATTTCAAATACTAATCATTGATCAGTCTAATCAAATACGTAATTTCTTCTTTTTGTTTTTTAAGGAATGTCTTTATTTAGTGTGTAAATACAAATGCTATCTGTTTAAAGTCATCAAAATCATTTGTTTAAAACTGTTTTTCATCTGCTATGCAAACCCATTTCTTTTTCTCACCTTCTGTTTAAAGGCTATGTTCTTGTGTTAAGTGACTTCTACACTTGTCAAGCCCATGCCCCTGTGGCCCTCTGCTGTTTAATACATGCCCAGAGAACTGTTTTGTCATCTTTATGTAGAGAGCAGCTTTTGTGTGCCAGACCTCCAGGTTTTTTCCTAAGGGATTGGTTTAACTCCTCATGTCAGCCTGGGCTAACTACAGAGCTTCTACTGCCCCCTGCTGGCGATTCCCCTCAATTGTTTTAAATTCTCCCCTCAGAAGTGTCTTAGAATAGATAGCTCCAATTTATTCATACTGAGATAGGGTGGATCTGTATCTCGTCCCAAAATAACCCTGAAATCTGATTACATTCAATTCCTAACCCCTGGAACGAACAATTTTATTCTTGGCTCGCTGCCAGCAACTGCTCAGCTGAAAGACTTGTTGTGTATGAGTGTGCATGAGATGTAGAGACACACACATTCGTCTAGTGTTAGTGGGGTTTTGGGCCTTTGTGTAAATCTTGTCTGTTTGTTTTATAGAAGGAAAAGCTGCAAGCGTCCATGGAGCTGCTGGGAAACATCCTGAGCTACCATCACAACTGTTCAGCAGAAATATCCCAGAATTCTTACAATTATTACAAAATGGCCTACACAGGAACGGCCATATTTACCATCAAACTTCTACAGACTATTTTGCCTCCTGAAAAGGTTTGTAAGCTTTTAAATTCAGCATTGTTACATCATTTTATTGTATTTTATCTTAATCTATTCTTTCTTACACAGGCTTCTGAAAATCTCCCTGAAAACACAGCAACAGCTATTTTTCATCTATGCTTGGACCCATCATTAGGAAGTGTATTACCAGGCATTCAAGAGACAGCAGTGGCCTATTTGGAGCAGGTGAATTCAGACCACTTTGACCTCTACAGATTGGTGACCCGTGCAGCTCTTTGGATGGAATCGACATGCAATTTTCTCAAGGAAGTACAAGCTGAGGTTTGAATACACAGCATTACAGCAGTGTTCATTCTTGTCATGTTTCTACTCAAACTGTATTATTTCAGTCTAAATTGATTTATTAATTATATTGCAATTATTTTTGTTTTGTGTACAGGGGGATAAGAACTGGCCAGAATTACTAGAATTGGCAGACCAAACAATAGAAGGGCTCCCATTTCACCAGCACCTGCCAGTCATAAAAGAATGTGTTAAAATGTGTTCTTTCCTGTAAGAAATTGAACAATATTACTATTTCACTCCATATTTATGTTTAATTAATATATTGTATGTGTTTTAAGATGGAAGTTTGATCAGCCCAGCCCACTACTTCAAACCGAGAGCCAGAAACTTCTTCTCAAGCTGCTGGCCCATCCACTCCAATCCGTCAAGATGGAGACATACACCTGTGTTTTAAATCTGGTCAAGGTTAGAACAAGGCTTCTTTCATAACATAGTTCACAGCTAAAATGTTTCAGACAACTCAAATTTTCTATGTAGTGGAGGTCTTTGTTAAGGAACAGGTGCGTAAATAAGACAGATCAAGATGAATAGCTCGTACTACTTTGACTGTGAATAATAAAAAATCAATGTGACATTTAAAATCAGGCAGCCAATCTATTTCTCTTTCTATTATCCTTCCATTTTATCAACCCTGGTAAAGGTATATGGCTACTTTTAATGTGAATGAGGATTTAAGTATGCATGTGCAAGTGAAAGGCAAGTGATAATTTATGAGGTGCTTTGGTGTGATCACATCCTAGGACTGCCTTGGCATCCAGAATGTATCACGACAGGAGCCAGGAGCCAGCAGCGGAGTGTGCTTTCTTCTCCACTATAAAGTGCTGTATGAAATCTGTGCTTTTGGACTGCAGGACTCAGCACAAAAGGTGGGTTGGTTTGTATTCTTCCAGGAGAGTCCATTTTGATGTTGCTATTCATTGTTTAGAGGAGTAGCTTTCAGTAGTCAAACAGTCTTGGGCAATGTACTATGCACTACAATACCATACCGCCTTCGCCTGAAGTTTTTTTGGGAAGAGTGGAAAGTAGATCTAATTCTAGAGACTACATCTGGTTCCATATACATGGATGATATATCAGCTTTGTATTTGCTCTCCTAATTCAATTTATTTCAAGGATTAAGGGATGATCAAATTAAGGCAAACTTGGTCACTGGGATAACACTTCAATTTCAACCTAAAATGATACTAGATCAGATAAACTCTCGAAATAGAAGTCTGAGCAGCACCAGAGAGACGATATCACAGTTTGATGAACGCTGATGCTGAGTTTAACTGACCCGACCCTCACATCTTTAAGGCTGTATGCTCGGTCAGGGTCAAAGGAAAGTCATCCAATCAACAATGAATTGCACAATGAAAAGAATTTGTAGTTTTTAAGAGGACATTAAAGTCTTAAAGGGTCACCTGCTTTATGCATTATTAGACATTTTATTGTATAGCCCTAAAAGTAGCCTGTATTAAATGTTTTACCTGTTGTACTTAAGTGTTAACTCAGCACTTTACTTGATGTATAGGTGCACACTGCTGCCAAGGATATCCTTCTCTTCCTGCTCAAGGGACAATTGATGATGACAGCATCACTGTGGGACAGATTGAATGAGGCACTTTACCCGATCATGCCCATATTACAGGTATTGTTCTTCCTGACTATGTGCTATTGCGCTGGTTCCACAGTTCATAAACTGGCTTCATATTCAACATTTATTACATTATCTTTATGGAGTAGGCGCATGTGGCGGTATGTGTTCCCTTGTATCAAAACAAACTATGATCAAAACTGCAATTTTAGCATTTCTAGAATACAAAGGCTGCATATTGAGTTGCCAGTGAGGAAAAATGTAGTTATTCTCTCATTTACATATTTTGTGTTATATTGGCTGCTTTTGGGAGGAAACAACATGCTTTTATTAATTGTTCAGTTTCAGGCAGCAGAAAGCCTGGAAATTCTTCATGAATAAACATGAGAATTTGACTAGGCTGTCAAGTGTGATTTAATTCAAGGAGGCCATTCGGAGATGGGCCTGCCATGTCAACAAGAGATGAAATGAAACCACCCGTAATCAAAGCAATGCATATTTTATTTACTGTTGCTGCTTAGCCTGAATTCCCCATTGGACCCCTCTTTGTTTGGTTGATTCACTCTGGCTGTGTGTGTGTGTGTGTGTGTGTGCGTGCAGGGTTACGCTAACACAGAGGACTCGCTGGGAAACTGTGTCCTGCTGATAAGTGACATGTCCGACGTGGCGAGAGACAACATGTTTTCAAGCTCTGCCAAGTTAAAGGCAGCGCTCCGACTGCTCTTCACTAAACAGCCCTCGTGAGTCCCCTGGTCTTTGTGTTTGGGTCTGGTTGTGCAAACGCTCTGAGCATTATTAGGTGTCTCCTTGTTTGATTCTATAAAGTCAGTCCATAATGTGTAAACTTCTCTGGTGTCTTGTGAAGTCAGTTTGACAAGTTTGGTAGCGACAAGCGAGTATCAAAGTTTTCTGAGTCAACTTTGATAGGAAATGTACTTTTGATGGACACATTCCCAAAGTCGCCGAGTTGGCGCCGAGTGTAGCAGTATCCCTCTGAAAATTAAACTCCAAAAACTTGAGTTGTTCATATTATGTTTTACTGTCATGTGCCATCCATTGTTTTCCATATGTGTTGTCTTTGTTCTTCCAACAGTGTGAGAATAGCTGCAGTAAAACAGATTCTTCCCCACCTGACCAGTGCTGATGGGGCACAAACCTCGAGACCAGAGCTAGACCAGTTGTTGATCTCCTTGCTCCCCAATCTCTTCTGCCTCAAAAACTCTGTTGACATTGGTCTTGACAGCAGCAGCAAGTCCCTCTTAAAGGTAACACATAGTAAATCTAACATGGTTACATGTTTACCTATGGTTTCTATGTGACCCAGGTGGAGTCAGTGGAGAAGCTCTTTGGTATTCTAACCTCAGAGACAGTAGATATCTCACTCAAGAGGTCAGCTGCTGAACAACTGTCTGTGGTTCTGCAAGGTGAGCAAATACAAGCTCTAATCATATCCAAGAATTGCATACACAATATAGGTATATTTATGTGACCAGCAAAAATTGCATTACAGAACAATGAGAAAGAAGAAAGAAGAGATTATTAATATCATATGTACCTGATTACATCACATTTCAATATTCTGACTCCAGAAATCAAATAATAATCTCATTTTTGGTGTGCATGTAAACATAGCAAGTGACAAATTGTATTTTTAATAAAAAGATAAATATTTCCTTCATGTTTTTATAGATACTACTATGCATCCAGTGGTCAAGAGTCTTGGTATAATTGACAAAGTCCTTTCTTTTATCATGGAGTGTGTGCGTGGAAAAAAGGTGAGCCTAGACTCTTCTTGATACTTAATTTTCTCATTACCATTCCTTACATGTGTGTGGATCATTTGAAATCTGCATGTAAAGGCACTTACAGGCTCCTCATGGCACTATTTACATGTGTGAGCATGTGCTGCCAGTGGCTATAGAAGAGACTTACTGAAGCATGCATTGCTCAAAGATGAAATGGTCTGCATTAATAGTGTCAGACAGGCTCTGGTCAGCAGTGGTTTTTGCCCTGTAGGTATTGCACTCTGCTGCTCATCCTAACACTTTGAATCAGAGCTACTAACAGGGGTAATAGTCCTGTGTGTCTGCCTACATCAGGATGGAAGAAAAAAAACATTGAGAATGACAGTTTCTAAGCTAACACATTTCAGATAACAAGTGTGTGTGCCTGGATGCCCCCAGGTTAAATATCTGTTGTTTGCCTCAGCCTGAGTATTCACCTCATTTGAATTCATTTGAAACACATCAGTAAAGATTCACAGTGTGAGTAAGTATACATTTGAACTGCCATGTGATTGTGTTGCTGATGTCCCCAGAGCCTGGATGGCCTACTGGAGCCCTGTGTGTGTATACTGAGGAAACTGGTGCTGGCTGATCCCTCAGTGAGACATGGCCTGGCCCAGCGCAGCCCTCTGCTCCTCTCTCTACTCAGAGGTACAGGCTCATAAGGCATCTCATTAGACTACAGCTCCATACGTGCTCTTCTGCTCTGGGCAAGTTTACTGAAGAAGATGACAAGTCACCAGTTGATGCGCAGCGCTTAACAATGTTGTCGTGCTCCAAATTGGCAGATGATGCAACTTGCCTCCTACTGTTAGATTACATTGCTGTTACCAGTGTGTGGCATGTGAATTCATTTGATTTGGTCATAAAAAGCTTTGTATTTGTCTTTTAGAAACTTTATGATACATTTTCTTTCATATTTTTTTAAAGTATCTTTAATACTGAAGGAAAGCAAAGGCAACAGCAGTGATGTGACTGTGTTGATGTGCCTACTACTGTTTGATGAAATTGCCAGTCTTGAAATGTGGTGAGTTAATGCTACTATTAAAACATACACTTGTGTAAAGGTGTACTTGTTGACATGTGTGCAATATTTTTTCAGGTCTGATATATCAAGTCAAAATGTTAGAGTTTCCTCCTTCTCTCTACCCATGACAGTAACACGCAGGTTACTGGACTTATATGATTGTGTATATTAATTCTTAGGTTTATTTTGCAAACTGTATTTATCGGTCCACATCTATCCCAGGTACAACATCCCGTTTCAAGCTGCCACACATCATGCTGTGAGCCCGTACTGCTGTGTCCTGCCTCCCTCCTCTCAACTCTGGACTCTGGCCCCTGCACGCCATGCCCTGCAGGTGGCCTGGAACACTGCATGGCATTCTGGGATAGACACCCTCTTTGAAAAATCCCATGGCTCAGGCGTACACGATGAGTAAGAACCACTTGTTGTCATGCATGCTGTGTTTTGAAAATCCCGTTAACATTTTTGATTTAGTTTTGATGAACAAGATGAATCACTTATAACTGCGTCGTAACTTATGAAGTGGGAAGAATTACGCTGAACATATTGTTTCCAAGTCTTGTTGCTCTGGTTTCATCTGTCTCCATTTGTGCTAATGTGACCTAATTCAAAAAGATGAGATTGTCTCTCAAATTGGTTTATCCCGCTTTATTACATTTAGGATGCTTAAAGCATCACATCAATGGATCAATCCAGCTAAAACTCACTTTTATTCAAATTAAAAAGATTAGCGCTGAAGTTAAGAGAATTATAATTATTTTACAGTTTATGTAATGTTTACCTGTGGGAAGCAACAATCTTCTGGGTAATAATGATACTTGCAGAGTCAGTATTTTCAAGTATATCTAAGGGTTATGTTTTGTACTTAAAATAATATCACATGCCTTGTCAACTTTTGCTTAATTTATTTTACATGTTGAATGTGATGTTTAAATAATAATCTAATTTGTATAAAAGCTTTCGCACCAGCTGTACTGCACACAACTTTTTTGTCCCAGATTTCCTGCAGAGCTGAAGCTGTGTGCGTCCCAGGTGGAGGTGCTGCGGACCATGCACTACCCCACTGCTCTGAGGGACTGTGTCCAGACCATCACCACCGCAGCTGGGCATGCCTCAGTTTCCTCTGCCCTCTCTCGCCTCCGACTTTATTTACTGATGGACAAACTGGCCCAGCCCCATGACCCCACCCACAGCTGTAGATACACAATGCACTGTTTAAGCTGGCACAATGCTATGAGCAGGTACAAGTTTGATTGTAACACTAAGGATTATGTGATCCCTTTTATTTTTGGTTGATAGTTCAATAATTATATTGTTTTGTGCAGATTTCTCCAGGTTCGCCCAGCTTGTTTAGAGGATGAGAAGTTGCTGGTGGCTATTGTTGAATTCCTGAATGATTATTTCAAACAGAATAAGCCAGGATCTATGTCAGACCAAGAAAACCAGGACCTCCGGTGGATTTTGGAGCTGTTACTTAATCAGGTTTGTATGGCATTATTTAATATGAAAGACTTTTACTGGCATTTTTATACAAAAAAGTTCCTCCCTGTTAATATGTGCCTCCACACTTCACAGATTAATTTGGTCAGACTTTCCCTCTCCAAAAGACACCAATTAAAATAGCTGAGCTTATTCCTTCCTCATACTAAAACAAAATGATCTGACAGCATTTCACCACAGACATAGTTTTGAATGTTACTTTTGTGGTTTTGCCATAGGAAAGGAAATCACAACACTATAGGTGGGAGACCTACTTTTAGGATTTAATCAGTCTCACCTAGGCTTTCTCATTAATGTGTGTGTAAACAATAAGGCCTCCCCTGGCAGCTCAAACAGACTCGACTGAATGCCTGGTAGGGGTGAGCTGTGCTGCTCAGACTTCTCTGTAATTACTGAGCTGTTTAAGGAACATCTGTCTCTCCACACTTGTATTACCAGTCTCTCTCTGTGTGGCTGAAACAAAAATTCTCAGTGTTGATGTGTGCAAAATACTAATCCCTCAGTTTTCTAATACAGCAAACTATTTATGTATACACTTTAAATATTTAACTTATCCGACTAAACTTGGTAATGGTATGTGCAACACCCACAGCAATGTAAATAAACAAACACATTAAGAAATAAATCAGCACCACTGTCTGTGCATATTCTTCATGCAGGATACAGCGTGCCTCCTTCATCTGCTCCTTGGAGCAGAGAGCCAGAGCCCACGAGAGGATGAAGAGCTGAAGACTCAAGTCAGTCAGCGGCTCCAGAGGGAGCTCACATCTTTGTTCAGCACATTACTCCAGTGTCTGCAGAACACCACTGACAGGTTTGGTCTGAACCTTTTCCCTGGGTGTGTCTTCCCTATAATGTAATTAAATATGTTGATATTGAAAAAGTGATAGTTCTAATCTCTGCTTTGTTTCCTCATTTCCCCTCTTCACTCCTTCATGTCTGTACAGGCTATGTTTGGCTTTGGCCGGCCCCTTCCAGAGCCAGCTGGCAGAGCGTTTGCTCCAGAGTCTGCGGGTCTCTGATGCCCCTCGTTTCTATGGCCTTCCCAGTCTGGAGAGGACGCTACAGGGCATGGTCTGTCTGACAGCCCAGGCTGGCTGGAGCACCCACTGCCCTGACCCGGGGCCCGCCTCCCTCTGTGCCAAGTATCTGAGCGGTCTGTTGGAGGTGTGTGTTTGTGCCCCACATGGGACAAGTCTCTGTCTGCGCAGTATGTCTGCATATGTTCATGTGCACTGTGGTTTTACAGGCCTCCTGTTCCATCTTTAGAGAGGAACAGAACAGATAACTAAAACAACCACTTTCTGTGGAATTAATTAAAACCAAGCAAAATATGGTTACAGGACAGGAATCACAAAAGGTAAAACGCTCATTGATATGCCACAGAGCAAAGATGCTGATGAGATTAATCAACCTTGCTGCTTCCATCTGTTCTTCTGTTTAACAGTCCATAAAAACCCAGTGTAATGCAGGGTGTGCGGCATAACTCAGCTTACAAACATGTCCAAACTTTTTATTTGAGCTACTGACAATAGAAATAAACATCTCTTATTTACACAACACTTTTTTTCTGTTCAGCAGTCTGATATTGGATCTTATCTGTCATTGGTATCTCTGTGAACTGTTCTAAATGGTGTGGACCTATGCTGTACTTTCTTGTAATATTTTTGCTTTATGTTTTTCCCAAAGACTCATGAAAGATTCATGAACATACTTTATCTCAATTGCATGCTTTTATTTATTTAAACTAAGGAGTCAATTGAACAAAATGATGAACTTGTAAACATTAAAGGCAGTAATATAGTTGTCTTAATTATTCTGAACATGATCTTTTCTTGTTGTAGGTGATCTCTTCCTTCTACGTGGAGTGGGGAGGTAACTCGATGTCTTTCATGGGTAAAGGAGTGACTAAAAATGCTGCCGTCTGCCTGCTGCACCTGTCCTCTGAGATGATGGCTGAGAACAAAGACGAGGCAAGTGTCACAATGCGCTTGGCTGCGTGGGAAGAAGTGTCAGAGTTTCTGAATAGTTAAAACACAGTATATTCAAAAGGAGAAACGAAAAGGGTGCTGTGACTATCATGTTAACAGTGTCTCTTTTCCAGGATGTAATCTCCCAGTGGTCTTTGGGGAATGAGACAAATGAGCCAAATAACGCTCATCTTGGATTGGCCTGGCTTATACCACTGTGGGTTGATCGAGATCCAGAGGTGAACAAACTGTGGTTACATTCTAATTGCAACCCTGTTTTCAATATTTTTACTTTTTAAAAATGTCCTAATCCTGCTCACCCACCCCTCTTCCCCTCGTCATGTCAGGTGAGGTGTGCCAGTTTGGGTCTGGGTGCAGCTCTATCGTCTGTGCCCGCTGGGTGCCAGGCTTTGTGTGCCAGCTGTCAGAACATCAGCGGAGGGCTGTGGGGCACATTGCTTAACATCCTTTTGGATCAGCAGGAGAGCAGCATGGTCCGCAGAGAGGTATAACATTAATGACTCATCTGAAGTCAATTCTTCTTTGCCACAAATTAAATAATAAATCTCTTTCATGTAGAATTTGCCTTTATACATTTTGGAAATTCTAGTCTACGATCAAACAAACTGCAAAAATGTATGAATGCAAGTGACATGAAAGCAATCACAATCTGAATGTTGAGCTTTGGAGTGAGGAGTTGGAGATGTTTTTGTATTTCCTGCCAGACTCAGACAGATGGCAGTGTTGCTAATGTAGTCTCAACTTGACCTTCTGCTCATCATGTGTTTGTGTGTGTGTCCAGGCTGCATTCATCCTGCAGAATTTGCTGGTGATGCCGATGCCAGCCAACGCAGAGGAGGCCAAGGACTCTCCCTGGCAGGTCAGCCGCTCTGCCAGGCATTTAAAACGCTTTTTATGAACTGTTTTCATTTTGTTTGTGTCAACTCCATCACTTCTTTTCATTGCAAGCTGCCCACACTTATTTAGACCTGCAGGATGAGTTCATACATGAGACACTTTTCAAAATGTGTAAATAGTTGTTCTCCCATAGCGATCATTTTTACAAAAAAAGCTAGATGTTTTGATACTTTAGAACAGTTTATAGATACAAAATGAAAACAGAATATCAGGAGAATACCCTCCAAAATCACTGCATGTCAAGAGAAACCATCTTTTTAAACTTGACGTTTACCCTCTGGGATGTTTGTGAAAAGTAGAAATAGGACACCAAAATGTCAAACTACTGATGTGGCTGTGGTATTTGATGCATTACTATAATAAAACATACTGAAAGATTAGGAATATCAACAGCTACATATTTTGGTTGTTTTTATCCTTTTATATTGATGCTAAGTAGATGTGTTATTTTTTTATATTGTTATTTTTCCTTCATTTAGCACCCCTGCGTTCACGATGAGGTGTCTGGTGTGTCTCTTGTGGGCCTGCCAGCGCTTCAGGCTCTGCTTTACCACTGTCAGTATTTCCAGCATGTGTCCTCCTCTGCAGCCTCCTGTTACAGAGGCAGGTACACGCCTCACCTACAACCTCACGCTGCGACTGCTCATGGCACCGAGCCCGGAGAGAGCGCTTCACACGGTACGCTGTTAGCCTTTTTAAACTGCTGTCCTCATGCTCCAAACTCAAAACTAGAGTACTGTCTTTTTATGGCATTGTCTGCTTTGTTTTTTAAATGTTTTCCTCCGAACTACAATATGTAACTTTTCTGCTAGAAGGCCTAGAATGTTACAGAGTACAGGATTAAACATCTATCTCCATGGAGGCCAGTATATCTCAATGGTCATTGTAACAATACATGCATGTTTATTATCACATTTTAGATTCCTATGATTCCCTTTGGTTTTGGAAATCTGCCCCACTGGAACTCACTGTTGATACTCCGAGACCTTCAAGTTCTCTATCCACCTCCAGCACTGAGGTCAGCCCATAGATAGCTAAATTAACTAAATAACTAGATAACTAAATGATGTTTTTTACAGAATATATGGCTTAAGTTCATGAAAATCTTATGTTGTAGATAAGGGGCTCAGGAATCCACTCACCAAAGGAGCCATCACCGCTGACTGTCCCAGAAGAATCCACCACAAGCAGATTAATGGCTCAAGGTACAACCAGTTCTTGTGTTGGACTCCCCTGTAAAGTGGTGAAGACATGACCGACTAGCTAATATTAATATCCAGTTGATCTTTGTAAAATCCAAGAAAATATGAAACACAGAGGACTTCTTAAGTAGCACGTATTGACACAATGTGTTGTCACACTTAACCTGATTTAAAAGTTTTGAAGTGTCTACAATTTGTTTAATAACTTACGTAAAAATGAATGAATTCCCTCCCACCCATGTGTCACGTAGGCCAAAGTGACACGGAGACCAGCGCCACAGTTTCATCCCATGACTCCCGACATGGCCAGCCCGCGGCTGTGGAGCACATCGTCATAGTAACGCCCGACCTCCTGACGGCACACTGCGGCCTGCTGGGTAACCTGCTGTCCATCCTGCCAGACTTCACCCTAAACGCCCTCCGACACAACCAGATCCTCCAGGCGCTTGCAAGGTAAGAGGCTGTGTCCTCAGAAAATGCAAAACCAGTTGTAGCATTTGTTTTGAAATCCAGAAAAAGAAGAAGAGTAACAGAAAGTCAAAAGTTAATGGATAAAACAGTTTTATGAATTTGCATATTTTTTGGCATGCACATGTACCATTTGAAATCATAATACATCCTTCTTCTTGCAGCTTTTAAGCCAGTAACTCACGCATACTTACTGTGATTTTTGCATCATATTTTTTTAGTGTGCTGGACATTAAACTTGTTGAGAAGTGCGTGAATGACCTTAAAGCTCTCTGCATTTTACCAGGAGAGCGAGCAGACATCAGGAGCCAGGTGAGGAACAGTTCTGAATAATTAGACTTTGTTATGACTTACCTCAAACGTGGGCCGGTGCCGCACAGTTGGGCTGTCTGCGGCACCTCCAGGTTTTTAGTGTAGGCGGAATACTTAACAAGATTTTATTAAAAGTAAATCCCTGTTTGAGCTAAGTTTGAACTGTTTTGTATTTTAATATGCTTTTAAATTCAACCTTTTTAGGGTTTAACAAAAGTATCTTATTGTTTGGAAAAACAAAATTGTGGCTGTTTGCTGCAGGGTTTCCAATCAGTGAGAACAGATAGAGGATGCTCTTGGAAAAAGGATCAAAACTTTAGACATAATGAAATCCAGGCACTCCCAAAAAGTAAAAGTCGATCGAGGAAAAGTATAGATAAAAGGCCTTTAGCGCTGATGAAGACCCGTCAATGATCGAAACATGTTGGCTTTGGCCATTTAAGTAAAGGCCTTTTAACTGTGTACTTTTCCTCATGTGACTTAAATTTTTTTGGAGAGCCAGGATTTTGTTGTGCCTAAAATATGTTATTGTTTGTTTGTTTTTTATTTTTTTTATTTTTTTTTTGTATAATTTCAGCTAGTGACCCTTCTTCAGTTCCTGTCTGCCTTCTCGAAGCTGCTGCTGTCCTGTGTCACAGTCAGTCAGGAGTCTGTTGGGCAAATGGACTTCATGAAACAGCTACTAACTTCTCTTGTGGCAGTGCTCACTCTGGATACTAAAGGACTAGGTCAGAAAATTATAATTTAGAGTCTTGGTATTGTAACATTAAACTAGAATATTCTATTTTTAAAGCAGTTTTATTTTATTTTATTGTAAATGTGTGATCCATCTAACCCTCTTCTCTGCATCCTCTTCTTTTCACGATTAACTTCATTCCTTCTTTTTCACTACGTTCATAATAGTGTTATAATGAGAAAATTTCAAACGCAATACTAAAGAATAGACTCGATACAGGTTTTGATACTCAAAGCTGTTTTTATACAATATTGTATTTTTCAACACAAAATAATGTGTTTATTATACTATAGGTTTTATGTTAGTTCTGATAAAACTCAGAATGAAACTGTTCAGAAAAGGTAAAATTAAATTTTATCGAATTTTTTTCCCAGTATCCATACTTGCTTAAATCTATTTAGTATCTAGTTTTGATACTAGTTTTACTATCGATTAGTATCCGATTTTCAATACTTTTGACAATCCTACTTCATAATTCTTCTAACTGATCGTAGCTGGGAATTATATTTTGAATCTTATTTCTACTGAGCTTGGCCTGTCACAATAACAAAATTTGAAATGCGATATTGCTGAAGAAAACACTGAAGCAAATTTATTATTCTGTTTTATTTGGTTTTGTTTGTGTCTGTTGTCACCAAACCTGTGCCTCATGTTTTCCCGCTCAGACCCAGGTTCACAGGACACAGTGCGAGTGTGCTGGGCCGATGTGTTTATGCTCCTGGCTCTTCTGGTGAGGAGGGACAGCTCCACAGTTTACCCATCTGTCTCTGCGGCGCTGGCAAGACGCTGGCGCACTTTTGCAGGTAGATAGACATTGTCACACTCCTTCAGTATTGAATATTTTGGTATGATGAGGAGAATTTCTTTGAATGTATAAATAATATGATATTGCTGTGCAGGCCTGTCATAATAACAAAGTTTGAACTAAGTGCAGTCAATAAGTCATAATATTGAACTACTTTATGACGTTGACACAATAGCCCTAAAGCAGGATTATAGAAAAACTATTGTAAATGTACAATATTGTTAAAACATTATAATAAATAGCTAAAGTAAACAGTTTAGTAATTACTTGGCATCGATAATGAGTCAAGTTATTTATTCAACTGTCTACAGCACAAATCGTATTGGACAGAAAAATTACTTATAATTTCCCCACTAGTACAAAGAAAAATATAAATATTAATCGAGAAATGTTGACCCCCAAAAATGATTGTTCCATATATAATTTACTTTTGGTTATGAAATGTATAAAAAGAATAATGTATTTTTCTTGTAAGTGCAATTTTGTGTTTCCTTATGTGATCCTTCCATTATGGCAAAGTGTATTTGATGTATATATATCATTTGATGTTGCAGGCACTTTGTCTATGTGTATAAGTGAGAAGTCCTCAGACTGCTCCCTTCACACTGTGGCCCTACAGTTTCTCAGCACAGTTTTAACTGAAGAGACAAAGAAACGAGACGCAGAAGATCAAAATTCCGCCTCTGCTCTGTCTGAAGTCTTGTGTGGTCCTTCGGCCGAGCAGCTGTGCGACCTCCTGCTGCAGGTAGGGGGCAGCATTCTGACATTAAAACTTCCTTTATTTTGATTTATGATTTAATTCACATCATCTGTTACTGTGCAACAGAGTTTTGAGAAGAGGACACTTTTGGACCCTCTGAAGAAGCACACAGCCAGAGCTCTGATGACTCTGCTGGCCTGTAGTCCCAAAGCCCAGAACTATGCAGCCAAAGGTAACAGAACATTCAAATAGCAACGTCTTAGACTAAAAAGCAACGTGGGCTTCATGGTTTTAGAATATGTGATACCTGCGTTTGCATTGCATAGTAAATATTAATATATGATTTTGTTTTTGGCTTTTGATCATTGTGGTAATTACATTTAATCTGGCATGCATTTCTGAAAAGCTGTATGGTCAATAGTCAATAGAAATGTGATACAAATGTGCTACAAAGAAAGATGGTTTGAACTGAACACTTTTAACAATACTTAATTTAATTTCAATTCATTGTGTTTTTGGCATTACAACTAATAATTGTGTTTACAACAGCCTTTCATTATAGCCATTAAAAAAACATTATATTACAATAGGAGTTATATGTCTTTTCAGCTGGCCTAATTGACAGCTGTGTGGAGCAACTGAAACAGATTTATTCTCAGCTGAACCTGGCATCAGCTCGACCTGGCAGGACATCCCACCGCAAGAAGGTGAACAAAATCAGTCTAAACTTTGCACCGAATGTGGGTTTTCTCACTCCATAAAATAACAATGTGGTATCAACACGGCGAGATTTTGAATAAATATTTTGAACACATTTTTGACTCTCAACACATAAGTCTCTCACTCTTTTTAGCTGTTGAAGGTAATTTTAAACACGTCATTGGTTTGTTTTTTGGTTTGTTTTCAGGAAGATGGCTATTTGAAAGAAGTCAAGCTGATGGTTGAGATTCTGCAAAGTGCTCTTTACTGCAACGATGAATGCAAAGTGAGCCCCTATATGTTTGCTTTTTAATTCCCTGCTGCTAATTGTTTTTTAATGGGTCCTAAGAGAATTAGCGCTGTGTCTGTAAATGAGACTCACCTAAATGTTTCATAAAGCTTTATCTGGCAACTTAAAGCAATAAGGAAAACATATTGCAGTTGTCAATAAAATATATTTTTCAACATGTTCATCTTATGGGGACACAGTTTGGTAATGTTTATGGGGGAAAAAAATCATACTTCTTACCAATGCTTTGCGTTTTTGTAGTTAGCTTTGTTTCTACATCCTAATACAGAACAATGTTAGATCTGCAAGCTGCATCTGTTACAATATTTCTTTTGGTAGTCGCTTTTGTGTGCTGTGTAAATTTGGCTCTCAACTGCTGGAATGTGATTATTTGAACAGATCACAATTATGTATGAAACCAAATTGTTATTCAAGTGCTTTTACCGTGTGTGGAGGAGCATAAATTGTATGTCTATTTGCATTTGAATGTGCAGACCATAGCCACAGACGCACGCCTTACACTGGCCCTCTACTCCCTTTGGCCTTGGCTCCTACTGGACGACCCCACTCTGGAGGCGGTCCTAGAACTGCTGTGCGTCTATACAGCCAAGTTCACAACAGGTCAGTGGACATGTTTACTGTCTTGCATACAGTTAGTCTGTATTTTAACATGCACTGTGCCTGGTTCCATTCCCTCTTGTCTATGGTTATCTTGAGTCACACAAACTTTGCATTCAGAGGCGCATTGTCCTCTCCACTGACCACTGTACAACTGTCCAGCTCTGCCTTCTCACAATAGGAACAGTGTCAGGATCCGGGGCTGAGGCTGCATGCTTGTCTCGCGGTTTGTATGGGAACAACTGTCAAAACAAAGGCAGATGATGTGGTAACACTGAGCATCTCTATTGCCAGGGAAACTGCTCTTTGGACCTGTGGAATTGTTTAGAAATATTGAAAGTGCTTATTTCATGGAGAAAAAAATACAGTAAATCAGCAAGATATAATTTAGATAAGCCTGATGTTTTTGATGCCCGTTTGTGCTTTCATCAGAGGAAGTTGTATACTCGAAAGCACTAACTTCATGTGTGATTGTGTTTGATTGGCAGTGGCTCCTCGGTGGGCGTGTGAGCTCGGATCTAAACTCACTCAGAACATTATTGGACCCCTTAAGCTCCACTATCTGTGAAGTGCCAGAATTCAGGGCCCCATTTCCCCGAAGGTTAACCAAACAGCAGCTTGTTTTCAGACTGCTTGAAGCCAACGTTACTATTACACCATCTACCCTGAGGCTAGCGTTTAGTCCCCAGGGATGGCTGCATTTCCTCTGAACATTTCATTTTAAGTCTGTTTTATCCATGGGCTGTTCACACTGACTCAGTGTGGCTAACTGACATTTTATTTAGGCCTGGTTGGTTTAGAGACATCAACTTGAATTTATATAGAAAAGATAAATCTCAGGGAGGATTGGAAAACACATACACTTCAATGTAACTTTAAAAAAAAAAAAATTAAAATTCAGGGTGATGGGATAACTTACTATGAATTATGGCTATAGGTAAGATTAAAAAAATAAAAAAGTTTATTAACTATTTTTACCTTTTCTTGTAGGGTGGCCCTGGTCTACAGTGGTCCAAAAAAAAAAAAAAAAAAAGCAAGCATCAACAGGGTAGCCGCAGGGTCTTAAAAGTCTTAAAAAGGTCTTAAATTTCATGTTCCTAAATTAAGGCCTTAAAAAGTCTTAAATTATGTTGTCCAAGTCTTATTTTTTTCACAAAGGTCTTAAATTAGCCAATTTTTGTATACTCAACTGGGAGCAGGGCAATTAAATGGAGGAAAAAAAAAACAAAAACGGGAAATCATATAACAGCTGGATATTTCACTACTTACAGCAGGACAACGGCTTTTTCTGCAGGAGACATGCGCATTAGGGGGCAAAGTGACAGTGGTACAGTAGTAGTAGATACTTGCACACAAGCCTAGAGTGCCCTCTCATGGCTGTCAGTGTGAAAATTTTAATATACAAGTCGCACCGGAGTATAAGTTTCAGGAAACACCCAAACCATGGAAAAAAGTGCAACTTATAGTCCAAAAAATATGGTAGTTTTGGTCATTATTAGCATTGGATCTGGTGTTTTTTGCCTGCATTATGGGTGCGATGTTGATCTTAATTTTCATTTAAGTGGTCTTAAATGGTCTTTAAAAAGTCTTAAATTTGGGGTGGCCATTTGGTCTGCTTTTACAAACCTGTCATACTTTCGACATTAGATGAAACGCCTAATACAATACAATTTGCAAATCAACAATCTGCAGAATAATAAAAAAACATGCAATTTCCATATATTATCGCTAAGGGAACAGGAAATCATAAACTGAGTGAAATCAATTCAGTCTGAAGTAACTCTCAGCATTAAGCAGCCCTTCCTGTCAGTTGAGTGAGCAGTGTAGACAGATATTGAGATAACCCCAGGCTAACATTAGCGTCGGCTTGTTGCTATATGTTTCCATTCAAGGATTAACACTGGCAACGAGCTGTCATGTTTTCCAATATGCCCCATCAATCAGTGTCGGGCAGAGGGTGGTCACGCAGCTCTCTCTAAGCTTCTTGTTGATTTTTGTATTTTCAGTGTAAACCATGCCGCAGTAATTAGTCATGTCAGTTATGTTGATGAAATGTGAAGCCTACGGAGACTTGGTATTTGCTGTTTACATTACTGAATAAGGTATATACAAGCCTGTAGTATGAGAGGGCTGCGTCATTTTTTAAACAAACAGATTATACTCAAGTGATCTCATTACTGTCAAATATTTGTATTTCTGAAAAGGTTACCCCGCAATAAACAATCATGAACTTGATAGCCAAGTAGTCTGAAATTAACTCTCAGACCCCTTGGATTGTTGATGTTCAGGAGGTAACTATTGAAGACAGTTTCTATACCAGATAAAATGTGTATTGTAGGACTTTCTGTGATAATTTTGTTGCATTAGGATTCAACATGTTGTCTTTCCAGTGTTGGGAAGGTTACTTTTAAAATGTAATCCCCTACAGATTACAGATTACACACCCCAAAATGTAGTTTGTAACGTAATCCATTAAATCACTTAAAGTGAGTAACGTAATCTGATTACTTTGGATTACTTGATATTGTCATGTTTTTTAAACGACATGAATGTAGCAACCACATCCTGAAAATTCTTGTTTGTTGTCTTCAAATGTCTGAGCCCAAGTCTCCATGAATAAGCAACTGTTTGCTGTAGAGAAACAAAGACCACGATATCTTAATATAAGAGGTTTTGTCTGTTAAAAAACAGTAACAAGATCAGTCTTTCCTTCACCATATTAAAAAAATATTATTGATAGAGAAGTTATTTTTTATATGAGATCACTTTAAATTATGTCAACCTACTGTTAGGTGTCATGTTGTTTAGACCTGGTTTAGTCCTGGTTTAGTCCTGGTTTAGTCCTGATTTTTAGACCTGGTTTACTCCTGATTTTAGACCTGGTTTAGACCAGGTCTAGACCAGGTCTTTAGTTCTGGTTTAGTCGTGGTTTAGTCCTAGTTTTAACCTGGTTCAGTCCTGGTTTAGTCCTGGATTAGTTCTGGTTTAGTCCTGGTGTTAGTTCTGGTTTAGAGGCGCACAGGAGGAAGCGCGGTTTACGTGAGAAAACGCGGTCCACACGCGGCGCACGAGACGGCGGTGTCCGCGCTGTAACTACGGAAGGAGACGTGGTCCGCGGGTTCTCAGGTTGATGACGATGATGAAGGTGTGTGTTGGTGTGTGTTTGTTTGCGCGTCCCCTCATGTCGTAGGTCATTATAGGACAGTAGTGCAGATATTATGAGTCTATGCAGGTTGTTTTCACCAGTGCCAGTAGCTCCGATTTCACATTTAAGTTGTAGGCGATTTTATATTAGTTTTTATATATATATATATATCTCACATCGGGAGAAGAATTTCCAAGACACAAATGCGTTTTTACCAATGCACTGCTGCTTCCACTGTGTGACTGACACCGCCAACTTTAACGTGACGTTTACATCGGTCTTATTTTGCGCGTTCTGTTTGGGTTTCCGGCAATGAGTGGAATTACCGAAATAAATAAATGGGATGTAGCACAAAATGTGAAAACAGGAAAATACCGCCTTGTAATCCACTTATTTCAGCAAAGTAACTGTAATCCAATTACCACTCATTGAAACAGTAACTGTAACGGAATACAGTTACTCATAATTTGTACTCTGATTACGTAACGGCGGTACATGTAATCCGTTACTCCCCAACACTGTGTCTTTCTCTTGTTTCCCAGCATGCAGTTCCCTTTGTGGTAGTGGTCCTGGGGTTGTCCCGGGATCTAAAGGCTCTTCAGGGAACTCTCTGATGCACTCCATCATCAAACTGGCCTCAGGGGTTGCTCCTGACAACAGCTCTATTCAGAAACTGGCCTTCTACCTCCTCACAAACCTGTCCATATCCCGGGACTGCAGGGGTCTCCTTCAAAAGGTACTAGATTCATCGCCACACTCAAGGGTGGTGAATTTTAACTCTGTGGAAACTTTTGCCTTCTTAAAATGTGTTATTTGGGAGAAGTTAATGCTAATCACAAGGCAGAGCTATAAATGGTATCTTTAACACTTGTGCTGTATCACAACTTCACACTTCCATTGAGCTGTCAAGGAAGTATATTCTGTCTCAATGATGAGTTAATGTGACACCCCCATCTCTTATTTTTGACAGAATAATTTCCTCCAAGGCTTCCTGTCCTTACCTGTGCCTAAAGTGTCTGTTAAGTCTTCACTTGGCTCTGGTGGCGTGTTGGCTTTATGGCTGAAGTTACTGCTGAGTGTGTCTGTGTGGGAGGACGGGCAGCAGAGCATCCTCAGACTGACTGGGGCTGTGGACACACTGGCAGGCCTGGCATCACAAAGGCACCACGCATTACTCACCCTCCACAACCTCTGCTTCTGCCCAGCCAACAAGCCCCACGTCATTGCCAATGGTACAGGGCACAGACACAACACATGCGCTAGTTCTGCAAGAGAGTAAACATGGCAAAACTCAACAATATTAGCAATATAAATCAAAAACTTATTGTTGTACCACTGCTGATAATTTACCTGAAGTGCTCTTCTTAATTTTTCACTTTTCCATAGTTGAATATACCCTGGCATGCATATATATATATATTATATTATATATATAATCTTCATATCCCCTGTGGATATATTGCATTTTTTTACATTCTAATAAAAGCATAACAGATACAGGGTATTCAAATATTATCCAAAATGAGCATTACCCATCTTCTTCTACAATATCAAATGCATTTAAAAACACATAGTATGACACATAGCATGTTGTTAGTCTGTGGGTGTGCTGACAGATGGGAAGGGGAAAATGTGGGCTTTTTGTGAAAAACATACTTCCTGTGTCACCTACATCTATCACAAAATCAAACCTCATTGTGTAAATTTGCAAATGCAAATGTGATTAAATGCATTCAAAATGAGGATTATACATTTGCTACAGGTGTACAGGAAGTGCAGTTTCAATTACTGACCAGTGATTTGAACTTCTAACTCTTCTCTAAGATTAAATTATTTTTGTAAGAATTTACCAGACAGTAACTGAACTAACAGTATAATTTGAACTGTATGATTTTAGTGCCTCATACAAATTTGATACATTACATATTGCTTTCTTCATATCATTAAAGCCTTCCTCCTTTTCCGTCTGCTTTCTCTCTGTCAGAAAAAGCTATGAAGGTGCTGATCGGCTGTCTGGAGAGTAAGGACCTGGAGACCTGCTGCACTGGAGCATCTGCGCTGTGGGCTTTGCTTCACAACAATCAGAAGGTACACACACAAATGAACACAAAAACACACAAACACACAACAACACACACCTAATTTAGTGACTCTGCATTAATAGCCTATTATGGGCACTCTCTGGTGGTGGGTGCCAAATTAAAATAGATAGGATCCCTGCTATCTGATTTGGCAGGACTTTGATGAATCCTGTTGAAAAGGTTGTCTTCCTTTTTCTAATGCATCTATTTAATTTTCTCCAAAGGCCAAGACCTCCTTAAAGTGTCCCTTGATTCGATTGAGGCTTGAGGAAGCGTATACTAGCCCTAAAAAGGGGGGTATGTGTTTGCTTACTTATACAAAATAATGACCTCTTAAGGCAATTTAGACAATCTGATTTTTCTTCTACTCCAGATAAAGACCAGAAGGAGGAGCCAATGAGAAACTACCTAATGAAGTGCCTTGAAAACCTTTCCCAGATACTGAAAAACTAAATGCTGTAGTCTATTTATTTATTTTTTGTATCATGTTTTACATGTCCAGTTTTAGCGTTTTGATATTAAATAATGGAATTTTAGTACATCAGTTACTGTTTCTTTTTTACAATTATTTGTTGCATCTGAAAATTCCTCATACTGTGATTCTTGTTGACAGTGGGTTTGCCTATCCACAGATCTGATCTATAAATTGCCCTGGTGTTATCACCCATTTTTCGTCATTGAGCTAGAAAAGTGAATTGCCATACTCTGGATCATTCCTGGCAAAGCAATAACAATACAGTCGTCAATAGCGTATTGACTATTCTGACTTGAGTTATTCAACAGTTATTTCATTGTTCTCTATTAAAATGGAAAGTTACAGCTTATGCTGCAGCACCAATTTCTGAGACATTTACTTGTTTTTGTGCCACAGTGCAAAACCTGATCACTTTCCCTGTTATGTGTTTCACTTATGTCTAATACATAGAAGTGAATGTTTCTTTAATTCTCACTATTTGCATTGTAAAAGGAGAATTTCCACAACACTATGCATTATGCGGTAGCTTGATCAAAATGTGATGAAATTAATAATGTCAAGTTAATTATTGTTATTGCAATTGTTAACCAACTAGCATCAGTCTAGCATTAAGTGTGCTCCAGTCTCTCAAGGGTTTGACTGTAGCTAGAGGTTTGACAGGAAGCGCGTCTCAGTTGTCTCTCGACTCGTCACATCAATGCTGCTTTCATTCTCCCACTGTGGGGCAAGATGGGAGCTGTGAACAAGGATCACTGGTACATCGTGGTACTCCTACTTCTTCCCATTGTTAAAGGTATGTAAGGCAAATATGAAGCTTATCCAATCCATTTACCTATGTTAAAAATGATGTCATGTTAAGTCTGTTGAAACCTGTCCAAACAATTTTAGAAGGGTATAGAAGGATAACTTTGGTCACTCCCAAATAGTTTTGTTTGATAACATCATCTGGTCCTAGACTTTCCAAATACATTGGTTTTCTAAAACTCTAGTCCTCTGAGAATTTTGTCTGACTTGAAAATTACTTGTAATTTAGTTTGGAGGAAAGCGTTGGAAAAACTCTGGAGCTTGATCAGTAGCTATTGTCAGTGGTGTTGGGCTCATGCTCATTATCTTCCTCCGGAGACAGACTGGGATCTGTGAAAGTGCTAATCTGTGCACAGCACTTTATAAACATTTCCTTCATGAGACACTTCTCACAGGTGCTATCCTCTGCTAATGACTGTAGATTATTTAAGTCCAATTCAAGGTGGGACATCTGGGTGTTTCATTATTTAGATAAAAATAACTGCATGTGTAAACTCGTATTCCTAAATATTATGACTATATTTCAGTTAGTTGTTGTAACAGTGGTATCAATAGTAGTATGCCTTATTGTATGTGTGGTACCCAGTAGTATAGTTACAAGCTTAACATCTTTCAACTTTTACTGTAATAACAAACAGCCTGTGGTCTGTGTGCAGTGCAATCGCAGAAGGAGCCGGTGGTCACCGTGGCTCTGGAGGAGGGCATGGTGCTGGATTGTGTGTGCCCGTGGAACGGCAGCTTCAGTATGGTCTCCTGGACCAAAGGCCAGGACAAGCGTCCCATCGCAGTGTTCCATCCAGACTTTGGCGTGTCCTACGCGAACCAGTACGAGGACAGACTGGAGTTTCTGAGGAGGAGTCCTCTGGACGGGAGCATCACCCTGCGTAACGTCACACACCAGGACCTGGGCCAGTACCACTGCTCTGTGCAGACCTTCCCACAGGGGCCCTGGAGCCAGAGCATCCAGGTGGAGGACCTGGGTAAGTCGCACACCTCAGCTGTTTACTATCTTCAAGAATGACATGACAAATGCAAAAAATGGGTTAAGGCAAAATCTATATAAATCTAAAAAAAAAGTATGTTTGCTTGGCCTGAGAAAGAAGCCAAACATAAGCCACGTGCCGCATTTTGACTGCACTGTCAAATCTCATCAGTAAAATGTCCACACTATTTGGTTGCCAATATGGCATTATAATAAAATTAAGATTTAATTCACCCTTTTAAAAAGTATTTTGATTTTTTATTTTTTTTTTATCTGGAACTGACACCATAAAAGTACTTTGGCAATGTTGCTGTTGTACTGCTGTTACTGGGTTCTAGAAAAAAACACAGATGCTATTCTCTAAAATAAGCTTTTCATTTTGGTTGTATCCTCATCAAATCAAGTTGGATACAAGTGAACTCATGCTTAAGGTCAATATAAAAGCTCGAGTATACATTGCTGTAGTGGAACATTTTCTGTTCCAACATAAAAATAAGCTCATGTTTCCAGTCTTTCATCTCAAAAGCTGTCGATTTCAGTTTCCTGTGTGCTGTCGTACTGTATCTGACAGATGAACCTCCAGCAGAGGATGAAGATGATGTTGCGGGTTTAGAGTACCCCTCCCCTGAGCCGCTGGAGCCCGGTCTGGAGGTTTGGGCAGAGCTGAATGAAAACCTGACCTTGAGCTGCACAGGGCTGCCTAATGTGACAGTGCATCAGGTCATCATGGAGAAGAGGATAGGGGTCGGGCCCTGGGACATCATTGGCGTGTGTAAGCTTTTGGACGGGGGTCTTCTGACGGAGGACTACAGCGAGCGGGGCAGTATCATCTGCGCTCACACTCTGGACATCAGCCTGCACCTGCTCTATGTTCAGAAGGAAGACAGTGGTTTGTACCGCTGCACCTTCCACACAGATACAGGGACCCACATTACCAACTTGACCCTGTCTGTGTCTGAGCCAGGTGCGCTCCTCTTTTAATGTCTCTTCCTTTCTTCAAAATGGCCATATTAAGAAATATTACCAGCAGAACTCATATTAATATAAACATTAGTGGTGAAAGTACTTAAATTCTACCTACAAAAAAAGGTGAATTTTGAAAAGTCCACAGTATATATACAGTTGTACTTCTACTTTTTTATTTGCATATCATTACTGCAGTAAAGTTACTTTGACTATAGCTCTTCTTTTACGTCTGAATAGTCACCACATTGCCATCTGTGACATCTGGTTCACACATGCTGAACCACGACTTCCTGTATGTGTGCTCGATTGTCAGACTTTGCAGTATAGGTGTCTATCCCTCATTTAAGGTTTTCTCCTCTTTACCTCTTTAAACCTCTCTCTAAACTTTTTAAATTGTTTTGATTTTGTCTTTACCAGGTGGCATCAGTCTATCCATGTACATGTTCTATATCTACTGTGGTGTTGGGGCTGCTGGTCTGCTACTCCTAATAACCATCATTATAGTTGTTGTCAGACACAGGTAAATTTTGACCTAAATATATAGACCATAAGTCTTCTCGACGACAGGATTGTTTTTGACAGGATTTTTTTCTGTTTTAGGAGCAAAAATAAACGAATAGAGTATAGAGTGAAAAAACGATATCGGGCACACAGACAGGTAAGACTTGTAATGTCTGAGTATTTTTAATCTCTGTAATTACTTATTTTCTTAACTAATTCCAAACCCCATTAAAGGGACAGTATGATTTCAAGGTACTGTACTTTACTTTATTGTCCCTGTAGGAAAATTTGTCCTCTGCATTTGACCCAATCCACCAGTGCTGCTAGAGCAGTGGCCAGCACCCAGTGACCCATGCCCATGATTTTAATGCTAGGCTTGGTCAGGACTAGCTTTTTCTTAAACATATCTCTGTCCCCAGATACAAGGTAGACTTGGTCAAGTCAAATATAACTTTTACTGGTAACAATTGTAATGGTGATTTATTCTAAATTACAAAACAATGGAAAAACATGGCCAAGCTGTTTATGTTACAGTTTGGTGTTTTGGTTCTCAAGACAAACCACACATTAGTCTTTCATTTGGGTTGCCATTTTCAATGCTGAAAGCTGTTAAAACCTAAAAGAAACACTGGAGGGTCTATGCTTTCACATGAGGCATGGTCTGCCCAATACTGAGAATGAGATAAATACATTTTAATCTATATGTCATAAAAGGCACTGGCAACTCAGGCTCAGTTTTGATTTTTCTAATCTGTACGTGTGAAGAATACATACTGTCCCTTTAATATTTTTTAGCACTCCAACTTATACGATTAAACTCAGCAGCTTTTCAGGATGTAGTTAAATAAATATGGTATACTGTATACTAAAAAAACTGTTTGTGCTTAAACGGCAGATATAAGCTGTGTACATGGCTGTTAGAAATGATGCTATATTCTGCAAAGCTGCCCCCTCCTATTGACACTTACTAACCCTGTGTACCACATTCACAGCCAAATATCTATGAGAACGTCTCTGTGTGTCCCAGAGGAGCAAAGAGGCCTATGCGTATGATGAAGTATCCAGTGTACACCAACCTGCCGTATGTCCCAAACCACAGGTGTCGTACCTGTAACAGCTCACAGCAGCAGTATGTGTTTGTTTAGCGGTCTCTTTGTACAAATGTAAATATATATTTAAACATGCTGCTTTAAGATCTCAGTTAGTATTTCAGTTTGTTCTTTACAATGCATCATCAAATTAAAAGAAAATGCTCCTTAAAATGTTCAATTCAAAATGAAGATCATATATTTTAGGACTAGGACTGATACAAGAATTTTTACTGACTTGAGCCTCACTAGATTATTCATAATCTCCACAAAAGTTAAAGGTGCAGTACGTAACTTTTCTATTAGAGAGCACAGCAACTGTTTGTCTCCATGGAGATGTTATTACATTGCTTGGAATAATTTATATTTATTATATATACGTTTATATCTCCATGCAGACAAGCAGGTGGTACTTCCAAGCCTTGTTGCAGGTCAAATCTATCTATCTATCTAAGAGGCCATCCCACTATTAGTAGGAATGCAAGTTTTTCAAAGTATTTTTTATACAGTTAAAGTACCTGTAATGTAATAAATGAATTTAATGCCATAGTGTGAGAATTCCAGGCAAAGCTATAACATCTCCATGGTGACAAGCAGGTCTTGGCTCCTCCATAAGAAATTTCATAGTGCACCTTTAATTAAAGAATAATGAAATTCAGTGTATGTAAATATATGTATTTCACAATTTGAACTGAAGCACTATGTTGTTTCCCTGATATCTGAATTTGTTGTGCATTCATGTAAATTAGCCATTTTAACATTTAAAGAAACCTATTGTCTGGGTCCAGGCCGGCTCCTTTTAATTACACTATGCACTTCATAATAACTGTTGAGGAAATAATCGTTTTTGTATCACAACAACGTTTGACAGTTACCAGTGGGCTTCACAAAATCCTGTATAATCACTCTTTTCACTTCCCTAACCCTCTGGTAGACATACAGGACAAAAGATGGTGTAATTGCGCTCTTTCCTTTTACTCCTGTCCCTCCTGGTTTCCTATTCAAAGCACCACAATGGCTGTCTAATCATCCAACGGAAACAAAATAGCAGCACTGTACAGAACCGCATTTCCCAGAAGGCTCTCTGTCTAGGATGGCTGCATTCCACTTATTATGAAAGCTACACTCTTAATTAGCCATTCCTGTGCTTTGTTTACCCAAACCTTTTTTAATAGTTTTATTTTTATTTATACAGTTTTCTTTCTTATGCTGGTATGTAAATTACACTATGCATGTTTGTAGAGATGGAGAGAATGGCAGAGGAAGTGACCACATAAACATGGACTGAAATGCGCATTATTATGAGACAATGTTTGCAACTTTATGTGACGGGAAGCAATGGCAGTATATGATGAAGTGCAAATAAAAGGTGTTAAACCCACTGTGATTTCCTCTATCTGTGGGTTGAAGTAACACAGCAGCAATCTGTTATTACTTTCACAATACACAGACATTCAGTTTATTACAGTGTCATTGAAAACATTACATATGTACATTAAGTGAAAACTGTAGTCCTACACTCGTACACATACAAAAGTGCTATTGACACATAACAGTGGACAGAATACAAGGACATCTCCTCTAAGAAAACAAATTATCACATTGTAATGGGACTAAAAAGAGAATTAGTGCAGAAAACATTTTTACAATACATATATACTAAATTAAGTTAAAGTAGACAACACATTTGACTTAAAAGTACAGCTAAACGCAAAATAAAATGAAAAAATTCTCATACAAATGGAAGATACTTAAAAGTGCTACAAGGTTCAGTGACAAAGACAAAAACTCACGACTCAGATTTAAATAAATAAAAATACATTTGCTTTGCTGCCTGATTGTCATCCATTTTATCAACAAACTGTAACACATAGAACACAATGAGGTTTAGGTTTAGGTTATTTTAGTCTGTTTTGAAATCTACAGTCACAACAAAGGTCTGGTTTTGGAAGGCACTTCTTACTGAACCATACACAGGTGGGGCAATATGAGCATGGACTGAAATTAATAATGTTCCTAATTAGGTCAATAAAAATATAAAACTAAAATTATACATTTAAATATATTAATTGGCAGAGGTGGGCAGTACTCAGTTACATTTACTTGAAAAATTTTTAAAGAAACATTTCAAACTTTTCTAGCAGCATACTGGCCTACTTGAGTAATATTTTTATTGTAGTAACAGTACTCTTACTTGAGTAAAATTTTCGTTTTGAGTACAAAAGTGAGTGACAAAAGCTTTATGTTGACAATATGAAAAGGTTTGAACATTTGTGTTTCTTGCACTGCTCCTTCTGATCTGATGTAGTTTGTTCTAATTTCTGTGTAAATCATTTGAAAAGAGCAGATTTTGTGCATTTGTTCTTCTAAATACATTAACCTGACTTTTTAAATGAGATATTACACACTGACAGTCACTCTTTAAGTTACCCTTACTTGAGTGGTACTTTTCCCAACTACTTTTTTACTTATACTTGACTGACTTGTTTAGGAAATTTATAAATTTGTACTGCCTGTCAAAGTTTGTCAATCTCTTCTGTTTAAATCTCTTCTGTGTTTTAACTTGAGACATGTACAGTGGACTTGTACAGATACATAGGTGATGCAAATCAATCATAGTTAAAGTTACTGGATGTTGTGTACTGCATTGTTCAACTTTACCTTGTTGAGATGAAAAATTGTTTGTCAAAAATGCGGTGTTCCTCCGAGTGCCGAGTCTGCACTTTATTCAAATGAGCCATATGTTCTCTCATCAATCACTATGTAATGTAGATGTTAATGAAACAAGGGAAAACTAAAAACTACTAAGCATTTTGGTGCACTTGAAGTTGCTGAGGTCACAAATAAGCCAAGACAAAATGTCCCTCTTTAAAAGGCCTTCTTATTGTCTACAGTTGACACTATTTTAAGGAGCATTGGGAGATCCTATATTACATGTGTCACTATACAGATTTCTACAGGTTTTCTACAGTAGCTGGTTTGAAACAGTCTGCGGTTTTGGTGCCGTCATTGAAGAGGTCTAAGGCTGCAACTCGACGCGTGGCCACTAGAGGGCGTTGGTGCTTCTTCTTGGAGTTGGCTGCTCTCCTCTTCCTCGGGCTCGTGGTCGTCTGACAGAAAACTGGGGTATGTCTGTGCGCGAGGGATGAACGTGAGACTCAGACCGCTTCCTAAAAAGACAAGAGGAAAAATAACTTACAACTTAAGATATAATATGGTTAAGAAAAAGAAAAAGAAGAAGAAAGAAAAAAAGCTATTATTTAGTTGCTGTTAAAGGTGCACTATGCGATTTTTTGTAGAGGGTCTGCCACGTGTTTGTTGCCATGGGAATGTTATAGATTTCCCTGTAAAATTCCACAGTATTACATTACCTACTTCTCACATTTAATTACCCATGATTTTATTGCTTAAAAATACCTTGAAAAACCTTGCATTAAGTGTGCTTTCCTCTCCACTGATCTCACCTTTACATTGGCTTCATGGTGCCTCCTGCTTGTTTCATTATATAGACAGATTTTATAAGTTTAATGCCATACTGTGGAACATTCTAGGCAAAGCAATAACATCTCCAAACAAGTGGCAGACACTTGACCAGAGAAGTAACATAGTTCACCTTTAGATAAGGCTGTACACATGGCCTTATTTGACCCAACCCCACTCCAGTTGTTGCTGAGCATGGGTGTGTTGCTTAGTTACAGTACTTGCATAATCTTTAAAATACTAGCCTGGCCTCTGATATAGCATAGAGAAAAATAACATCAAGAAAGCAATTTGTCTAACATGTTTTGGATAGTCTTTATTTCCCAAAGACTAGTATTTTTTGGGGGGTCGCCTTGTCACAATCTGCATGTAGGTGTGAAATATACAGTTCTGACACATGAGATTTTCTGTGCTCACAAAAATGAAGACAAAGCACAGAAAGAGACTGAATGCTGCATCTGATCTGCGTGTTGCGCTCTGCTCCTGCACCCCGGACTGGAATGTGCTACAAAAATGCAGACAGGCCCACCTATCTCATATGAAATGTTGAAATGCTGAGATCTGTTTTGTATAATTTATAATCTTTTTGTAATAATTTTATTGAATATTTTGTTACAATATTGCTGGTTCAGTTGAATGCTGAAAAGAAAAAGAAACAGGCTACATTTAATGTCCAAATAGGCGACTTATGGATCCTTTAATTGTTGGTTCAATTAGTGTTTTTCATTGTTTAAAACTTGAGTAATATTAATTGTTCAGAGAGACACGATCACTCAGTCAATAATAAAATATCCTCATTAATGTTCAATAATGGTCAAATCCACCTTTATTTTGTGATTTACAAATAATGTCTATTGACTTGACATGGTGACTGCTCTAGATAATAGTGGTGTTCAAAAATATCAATATATCTTATCGCTTATTACAGCATCGATATCGTGGGTTGTTGTATCGATATATTGCCAAGAGTATTTTTTGGTATATTTTACCCAATTATTTTGTTACAGCACTATAGAGTTTTGTTGCTTGTTTAGAGGAAGGACACTTGTTTATGCAACACATTTGACATTCTCACTGTTTTTGTTTCATATGAACTTTGCACAAGAAATGGTTTAGCAAAAAAAATTAGTATTACAGCCACGATTTAGCCATTATTTTTATTGAACCGTGTCGAATTGTTTTGAAATATATTGAATCGAAAGTGCACTGTATAGAAATGTGTATCATATCGTGGCCTTTGTATTGAGGTATGTATCGTATCAGCAACTTCTCAATGATACCCAGCTCTATTAGATAAGAAATGACATTAGAAATACGTGTTATATTATATTAACTTTTTTTTCTCCTTAAGTAAGTCATTGCCCTTTTAGCCAGTTAGTTAGCTGACAATGCCGCACTGATCTCAACCTAGAATCTAACTTTTACAATAATGATGATAAAAATACTTCATTTTCGTACATGAAATTTCACACTTGCATTTCACACCATGACCTACACACTTTCTCTCTCCCGCTCTCCTCTCTCTCTAACCTTATTGTCACATATTTAGCCAAATATTGTTCACTTTCCCATATTTATATTAAATTATACTCAGTGCACAGTGTAAAAAGTGAGCCTAACATGTACTAGCAAAGTAAGATTTGACATTACAATACGTGGTTAAAGGGCCCATATTACGTTATTTTCCAATCTATGTTATAATTTCAAAATACGTGGAGTTTTGTTTTGTGAATGAAGCAAAATATAACTCCAGGTATGTTTTTGAAGAGGTAATTATAACTGCATTTTGCATAATGTAGAACCTTCAACATAAGTAGAAAATCCCCAAAATAACTTCTGACCTAACTTCAACTTTGCATCTCCACCTTAGTTTGGACTAATTAGGAGTTTTTGTCGTCTCACTGTGTTCCGAGTGCACCTTCGGGGACTAAAGGATCCTTGTGGGCGGAGAGGTTTGCAACTGTGAAGATGTTAATAATAAATGAGGATGCTGTTCGGGGCGGGCAGGAGATAGAGTCGCTATAGCTGCTGCTGATCATGCACTGAACAAGGAGGAAGTGGGCCCTGATCAATATTTCAGAAGGTGCAAAAATAAAAACCCAGAAACAAAGCTGTAATCAACTTTAACTACCACTGTACCACACTGTATGCACACAGCTATGCACAAGTCAATACACAGCATGGTTTTCAAGTACATCGGCCTTCTCAGGTTAATTGAATGTTGATTAACAAATTAAAATCTGAATTTGTTTCCAGGGAGCAATCTTATTCCAGGGTCATATTGATGGAATAGACGGAGAGATCATTCGGACTCATGCTCCTTCAGCACAAGTGGTCCTTCAGTAAACATTTGAGCTGCTGGGGACATTATAAAGGACACAGTTATGGCTAATCGGTGCACAAGGACAATTACTGATTCAATGTTCAAACTTAAAAAGCTCCAATCTGGGTCGAAACTTTGGCAAGCATTTGTGATTAACACTTACAATGATGTGAAAGGCACTGTACTGTATTAAAGCATTTCCAATTTGAATCAATCTGTATAAAGATTGTGCTTACTGTTGCTGGTTCTGCTGCAGAGTTGTTTGGCTTTTAAATTTCAAAATTAAAGGTGCACTGTGTAACCTTTCTGATGGAGGATCCATCACCTGCTGCTTTTGTCTAATGTGGTTGGCCTGGATTGTGCCACACTAAGGATATAAATTTATATATATTGCATTTTGATTGTCAAAAGTCCTTGGTTTGATAGACCCCCATGCTTGTTTCCATGGGGATGGGTAAATTTGATGCAATTTTATGGAAGATTTTCCATAACGATCTTTTACTCTGGACTTTTTGTCTTAATGGGATTGCCACTATAGTTTTAGTTTTCATTTGACCCTACTACTGCTACTTTGTGCTAGTCAGGCTGGCGCCACCTAGTGCCTCCACTCAATTTCATTTCTCTCTCCATTTCTATTCCAGGTCAAGAATTGGAATACACTAGACGGTTCACAAAAACCCCGGAAGTGCAAGTTTGGGCACCAGCCAATCAGCATTCTGTGTTGACAATGATTCCTGAGGTCGAGGATTTAAAGCCAGAATAAAGAGAATGATTGGTGAATTTTATCAAGAGGAAAGACGTTATTGCCCTTCTTCCTACAGGATTTGGGAAAACCTTAGTTAGCCCCGTTAGCAGTGCATTCCATACATCACGACCAAATAGCAGTGATTGATTAAAAGAAAAAATTACCCACCTACTGTCGAGCTGCGTGGTCAAACTGTTTGTACGAAGTGAAACCGGCTGAGGAATCAGGCTAACTTTGTGCACGAGGCAGGTTACATTCTGCCAATAATCAGCTAGTTGTGAGACAGATATGGGATTATGGGCATTTGGGTAACAAACCTATTGTTTTTACTTTATTATATGTTTATGTCAGTTCTATTTAGAAATTCTGCCAACATAACTTACAGGTAGTATTTTTAGGATAAGCTATATAATACGAAGAAGGTGTTATACAGAGAGAATCTGATAGCTCACTTCTGTTTGAGCAAAGGTAAAAACACCACAGAAAAAACAGCACATGGCCACAGATCCTATTGACTGATCTTTCCGAGGACAATGACAGGGCTGCACAAGGATCATCTGAAAGCACAAAAAGATGATCCTGAACCAAGCGATAATCAATGTCAACATGGAGACGAGAGGAGGGACAAATCCGTCTCCCTGTGAGTAAGACCACAAGGAGGACAGTGTGGGGGCACGACAGGAGCAGGCATAACAGGTGACTCATCCCAGGGCCTGAATAAAGACAACACAGAGACATTTTGAAATCTATATAACACAAAAACAAGGGGGCCACCTCCTTGCTCCTCCCTTTTGGCACCTAATAGATTGCTAAAACAACTGATGCGCAACCGGGCAAAACCCTTTCATATGTTTGCCAAGACAATCCCTCCCTCTCACCAACCAAGGCCAATTTGGGCAGGGAAAGAGAGAGAAAGAGAGATGGAGCAAGAGAGAGAGAGGGAGGGAGAGATACGGTATCATGTCCCCACTCGTAAACAGTATTTTCTTATAGGAGCGAAGCAAGAGACCTGACAAGACTGACAGCTATGGGGAAAATGATGTCTGCTATATTTACACGCACAAGTCAATGCAGTGACATCAAAATCATGTTCTTATATATAGACTAGATCAAAATATACAGGCAATAAACAGGCACGGTTACAATATTAAAGGTGCACTGCGTAACATTTCTAGTGGAGAGTCTGCCATCTGCTTGTCTCCATGGAAATACTGTTACTTTGTCTTGAATGTTCCACAGTATAGTTTAAACCTTAATCTATCACAAGGGAGACAAGCAGGTTAGTTGTAGTAGTAGTAGTTTTATGTGCATGACTGAAAGGGTTTAGCTTTAGTAACGCTTTTAAACAATGACAGAATTCCAAGAAAGAAAGGCATCGTATGAACAGCAAGTTTGCATTTACAATTTCACTTACGACTTACTGTATATATAAGAGACAAAATATAAATTAAAACAATAATTCATTCATTCCAGAGCTCTATGTAACGCTTTATATTCGACTTTTTAAAATCATCACTCAGATTGTTCCAAATACTAACCCCTCTAACAGAAATACAATCACTTTTTTTTTTTTTTCCTTGTCTTCATTTTTTAAAGATGCCAGTTTTGTTTTCATTCATGGCTGTCCAAACCAATAATCTATGGTC